CTGGATTAGACTCATACAGACACACACACACACAGACACACTTACAGACACACACACACACACACACACACACACACACACACTACAGCAGAGAAGCTAAACACACATTTAATTTGGCTCTTGAACTCTCAGTTCACTGACTTAGTCTTTCTCTGTCTGCGTCTTACTTTGTGCGTTTGTGTGTGTGAGAGTGAAGATGTGTGCATGTATTTACCTGTGTGTGAGAGTGTGTGTGTAATTCCCAGCTCAATAGAGCAGATATATTTAATCCTTCCCTTGCTGAAGCTGATGTCAGCATGAGCTGGCTCTCTCGCTCTGTGTGTGTGTATGTGTGTGTGTGTGTGTGCGCACGCACATTTTTGAAGCTAATTCATCACAGTGGCAGATTAACCAGCTGTCTGCAGAACATAAAGTCCACCACTAACAACCAGCTGGAAGAGAGAGCAAGACAGGAAGTGTCTCTTGATAACTGAACCGTGACATGGGTTGTTTCGTGTCTCTGCCTTACACATTAGTCTCTATTTACCTTTACAGCGCTAAATTCTGCATTACCAGTGAGCCTAAGCATCTGCGTCTAACAAGACACAGGGAAACTGTGCATGACAAATGAACAAAGAAAAATCTGGAAAGTAAAACTAAGGGAGATGTTTCAAGCTACGCTCCACACCGATGCAGACTGAGCTAGATCTAAAACTGTCTTCCACCAGAGATCACTCCAGCTAGTCTCAGGCCACACCTGTTCTAGTGGCCAACCTCACAGAAATCCCATGGAGCTAACGGCAGTACGGCGGGCTGAAGTGGGCAAAGCAAAAGAACCCAAAAGGCTCAAATAGACAGACTTATCAGCCAAGGCAGAGCAGCATACCCATCTCCTCACTTTGGGATGCAGAACAGTGAACAAGCAGGCAGTTGAAAAGTTGAGGAGGGGGTTCAAGAACAAGCCTTCTAGTCACGGGAGAGGAAGATGAGCAACGCAGTAGGTGACTGAAACTAGAGAAAAAAGAAGAAGTAGAACAGCTTGATTCTGACAGAGGTTTCTTCCTGTTGAAAGGGAGTTTTTCCCTGCCACTTTCACCAAGTGCTTGCTCAAAGGAGGTTGTTTGATTGGTAGTTTTCTCTGTGTTATTGTATGGTTTTTACCTTAAAATATAAAGCCACTTGAGGCCCTTTCTGTTGTGATTTCACGCTACATAAATAAAATGGAATGGGATGAGCAGGGCTTTTACTTTTATTCCTCGACCTGCAAACACCAAATACCTGTCCTAACATTATTTAAGTCAGATTTCAGTAATTTAAACTTCACAATGGCTCAGACTATATGAGTGTAATGTAACCTGTCACAAACTCACATGAAAGAAAGATTGTCAGCACTGTTTCACACCCCATCTCCAGCTGCCTCCCTTTTCCCGCTCCACCACAACCACCCACACATGCAGGGCCTTGGAGTAGGGGTGTGTCACCAGGGTGCAGAGGAGGTAACCCCCCCCCTCTGTCCCC